GCGTGCGTACAATGCGCCGCGGGACACGCTGCTGGCGTGCGACGCGTCGCTGTGTACGCAGATGAACACGGTCATGCGTTGCCTAGCATGTTGGCATGCACTGTGCACGACTACACGCATAACTGCGGCATCGCGACGCTTGGCTGCCGAGTACAGGGCACGCGTGCGCGGTACTGGGCGCTCGGACGCTGTCTGCGTACTCGCTGGCCTGCCGGACGTGCCTGCGCGCACACCGCGTGCGGTAGGCATCACGGTCGGCATTTCGCCGGCCGTCCGGCTACTTTCTCCTGCAGTCCACATATGACTGATCATGTTTTGACTTAAATAACACAATTATGCAATAAACGTTCGAGACTTGCCGGTTAAAAACTGAAATCACTCGGGAGGGCTTAAATAGCACCTCCGAGGCCATTTTACTAAAAGAACTTGGAATGAACGACTTGACATCGACATGATCTCCCTACAATGAGCTTAACTATATAAACAGAAGGTAAATAGGGGTATACCCTTCAGTTCGATCGAGGATTGCACGATGACTTGCGTGCGTGTTCGGTACTCCCTTTAATGTCCTTATGCTCTTCCCTTACTTCGGCAACACTTAGGTATTTTTGTACTATTTTTCTCTTATTATTTTCTCACTATTTTCTCCCTCGGATATGAGCTGAAGTTGGTCAAATTTGTGCATGGAAAATGCATGAAAAATCTCACACGCACGGTCATTATAAGGGAGGTGAAACCGAGGGTGTAACTTGGGTGAAAGGAGGTGATTGATGATGCATTTGCTCCCAATGCCAAGTGTCTCGATTGTGAGCTGAAGGGTGGCATGTTTGGCTAGTCATCGGCCTAGGTGGCGGCCATGCACGGGCTTAGTCATCGCCCGTGCGTGCGTGGTGCGCCGTGTGTGCAAGCAAGGAGGTGAATCATCACCCCACTTGCACACCAAACATTTATCTTTACATTTTTCCTCATGGTAACATTAAGATGGGGGTTTGGTCCGATCAAGTCACTAAGCATTGCCTAAGTGCGTGCTTAGCGAGTACTTAACGCGCGCGCTAATGCGCTGCACGGTGCTGCGCACGATGCGCGCTCATGTGCGCGGCTGAGTGTACGGTGTGCGTGCATGAATGCGTTCACATGCTAATGCCTTGTGTACCTTGCATTCCTTCTCGACTTAGCTTAGTTTCAATTAACTCCGAACATGCTGAATAATTAATCCCAATTAGTAATGTCCGTTTATAAAATAAACGGTTCGGAAATTAATTATCGAATTAACTCGATTAATGATTAACCGAATAAACTTTTCGACTTAACGTCAAACGTATGTACTGAAAATGAACGGAATTGATAAAAGATAATACATCACTCTTATTAACAAGAGTTGGGTTATTACAAATGCCCTGTCATTTACTGATGCATAGTGGTTCCTGGTTAGTTCACTATTGTCAACTACTCGCAACAATTTTTATTTATTAAATAATTTTCAAATATTATTTTATTTAAGAATTTGTTCACTTATGAAATTGTCATCATGTTATTATCTCTTGGAAAATATTACCAAACTACCCACATTAAATGAGTGCTCATAAAGAATGCCAACGCATTACAAGTACCCGCAGTACAAGCCTCAAGTTGATCCCTGAAATATCTCGACACATCTTAACTATTCGAAAAGGCAAGTGAAAGTTGATACTCGACACTACAATTATGTATAGTTAGACCACACAAAAATCGTTTTTCACCATGCAAGCAAAGAGCATCTCAGATGGTAGACTTCACTGGACTTGTCCTCATCACTTGGAACCTTCAAAAGCTCCATTGTTCTGCATCAAACCTAATCTTCTTTGGAGCAGCATGGACGCAACCCACCTGTGTGCGGTACACATGTAAAATTGTACGGTCAAAAACCCAATTAAAAGACATAAAAAACTGATGCGACATCCTTGAACAAGACGATTTATTTGGATTTGCTCAGTTTTAAAAGATTGACCCGGTTATCAGAAAATGTTTTACAAAAATCGAGTGTCTGCGTGCATACCGTATTAAATGAATGCAAAATGAGGGTGTAGCAAAAGAACAAAAAAACTTCTTCTTACAATATCTGGGCAGTCATAATCAATACCAGCAGCCTCAATCCGCTTTCGGCGTTTTTTGTCCCTTTGCAATATTCCTGCTACTAATTTCTGCTGTTGTTCTAGGGTCCGTTCCTAGAATAATATCGAATTAACTTGATGTCTATTAAATGAGCTATAAAAATTTAAGGGGCAGAAATTAACTTGATCATATACCTTGTCATGTCGCTTACGCTCAATTTGAACCGAATCCAAGGGTTTGTACCAGCGGCTCACACCTTTCCATCTGAAAAGTTCAGATATACAATGATTTAGCATTTAATATTCCCTACAAATCCTACCTGAGGACCAATAATCAAGTACCCGCAATAGAAAGATAGAGCTCAAGGATAAATTCCAACCCTCCGAAAATATTTTTTTAATAACTAAATATATGATGAGTAACTAGAACACAATATGTACCTTGTGTTTTTAATTACTGTGAAACCTTAACTTCATCAATTGTTATTGTGCTCTTTACCATTTCATTGAGGAATAGGCAAATGGTCTTGATGTGCAAATAATCGAAAGTAAAATCACCCTAACCATAAAACTAATAACATAAACCATATCCTTCAATTACAAAAAAAAAAAAAAAAAAAAAAAAAAAAAAAAAAAGCTAGAATGTCACATCACGCTTAATGAATGACCAAACAAAACACATTTCATTCCAGCAGACAGGTCATCTTATAATTGGAGATACAAATCATGAACTGACACATTCTTCTACTTCTAGGCCAAACATGTTGGGACAAATGGTGGATGCATTTCCAGCAAATTTTCGTCAACTTCCCTAAGAGGTCATGACTAACAAGGTGCCGTTTGAATCCATCCAAGCACTCACCTCAAAGTCCATGATTTTAGTAATGTATCTTCCGTAAGGGTTTCAAGGGATGAACAAGTATAATTCAAAAAATGAATCATTTGTTGAATTTAGAAGGCAAAGGGAAGATTTGCAACTTCATGATTGCCTCAGCATGTACTTACAATTTTGGATGAACTCGTTCAGGAGGAACAAGTTGAACTTGTAGCAGATGCTCATACATTAGATAATTATGCATGCATTCTTCGACGACTCTGGCTACCTGCAGAAACCATGGTATGCATGAGAGATGATAAAACAAGTGAAAGTACTTCCAAGGGAAAAATATGACCATACCACATTTCATGGAATGCAAAGATAAAGATTCTATGGCTATTAATATCTTTTCTAAGTAGAAGTGAACAACCTCAGGAGACTCGAATTCAATGAATCCAAAATGCTTTGATTTCCCAGTCTGCAAGAAAAAGAACAACGAAGCAATCAATATAAGAAATGGATTAATAACCGACATGCCTTGCCTCCATCATGCATAGTACAATATCAATGAAGCTATACAATGCAAATGAAAAGAAATCAAGGAACTAAATTTCTGATTTGAATATGGAGTAAAACATTGATGTCATTTCTATGTCACCAACCAAAAGCATTCAAAAGCTTATAACTTTGCGAAACTCCTCAATTCCCACTTTCACAACGTGAGGAGATAATTTTACAAATTCCAGCAGTAACATTTTATATATAATTTTGAGACTTTAAAAAGTAAAATCTAGGTCACTTCACATTGGAAGAAAGTTGATGTCAAAATTTGGTCTTACTGTTACCATGACACTTAGATGAATTTGCAAAACAACAAATTAAGCCGTGAAAACAAGTAGCTCTATACATTCCATGCAACTGACAGAAACAAAATCTAGAAAATGTCTAATTAAAATTTTAACTATAAAGCATGGATATCAATGTTACCAATGTTGTTATGCACTCTCCACAAAGTAACAGTGCAAAATTGAAGAAAAAAGAAAGAATCCACATTATTTCCTATGCACTAGAATGAAATACCAAGACTGATTCATGAAATTCGTAAACATTCAAAGAATGTAGAATAGCTATACAAAAAATGCCAACATATAGAAGGTACAGAAAGGTACAAAAAATCCTAGACTAGGCCCTTGGCCTCTTTCTCTGTACCAAAAAAAAAAAAAAAAGAAGGACAACAAAAGTGACGAACTGGCAAGCATGCCCTTCACAAGTAAACAATCCATCATCATCTTCAGTGGGCACGCAACTAATAATATTTATTTGTTCATTCAATTTGTTCACTGATACGTATCTAAAGGAAGCAGAATCAACCGAAATCAACTCAATGCTTATCAGTATTGCAAGAGGGAGCACATCTGTTAGGTAAATTTCAAATCTTGACATTTTGTTAAGATAAACTGTTAGTTTAAGGTATTCCATCAATAGTCACAGTGCTCAAATATAGCAAGCAAGCCTATTATAGTTATGGCCTCATGAGATTAAAACTCAAATTAGGGAAATAAAAAAACAACATAATTATACACACATACAATTGCAATTGTAGGCAAGAAAAAAGCATCTAGATCAACTCAAATCAAACCTTTCTACGCTACATTATACATGCACAGAGTAACAAGAGGCAGCTAGCAAATGCAATCCACATTCCATATATTCAGCAGCCCTCATTCAATTCAATTGATATACTCAATTCAAGGAAACAACTTCCAGTCCCAACAGAACCAATAATATCATCTTGGTTGAGTACGAAATAAGTAAACAAAACAAAGTGCAGAAAGCTTTATAAAGCACTGACCTTCCTGTTCCTCGCAATTCTGAGTCTCTTAATTGTACCGAACTGCTTAAAAAAAGCTGCAAAAGCCAATTCGAATAATCAAGGGTGAGGCACAAAAAAAAAAAAAATCATGAATGTGCTCAACACGCACAAAACTGTAAAACATTCATGCACAAAAAGCAAATTCTAGAGGTGCTCAAGTGGGACAAGTATGACCAAACCTTCCATTTCATCCTCATAAAAACCATGGGGGATTCTCCCAATATACAAAATTGTTGCTTTATTCTCTCTATCTCCAGTCCTTGGAAGGTTCCTTGCCGGGCCACCCTCCAGTGGCTGGTTTCCACGAAACAATAAAATTTAAAGAAATAAATCAGTTACCTATGCCTACCACTTACAGACTCTATAATAATTAAAACAAAAAAGAAAAAAAAAACAACCAAAAAGCAATGAATATTTGAATGAATAACTAATTATTAATAAACAAACCAAGAAATCAGCTGTTGCATCTTTGGAAACAGAAAACTGCGTAGAGGCCTTCTCCAGAGACTTCACGGCTGCTTTCTTCTTAGCCTTTGCACCCATTTTCTAGAGAATATTCAAGTTCAAAGATACGTTATCAGGTTTAGCGACAAAGCAGCACATGTTGTATTTTGGTTCCTAATGTAAGAATTATTCACTCGAGAGAATTTGTATCCTTATGTATAAAAGGAGGGTAGAGTCTAGCATGTAAAACTTTCAATCCCGATCGCTCAACCTACACTGTGCAGATTATAAACTAGTGACAGTTTCCAACTCCTCTTCATTACCTACATCCTTCAAAATAAAAGAAGTTTACAAAAATGCCACCTTTTGCCTCTGTGTTATCAAAACACCACTTTAAACTACTACGAACAAAAGACGACCGAAGAGCGAAAACAACTGTTATTACAACCAAAAGATGTGGCATTCTTTTCGTTCAAATTTACCTAACCGCGATGGCCCAACAAAACAAAAACGAGCAAGCAGCAAAGAACTGACAATTCCCTCAGCACTGCTAATGTAGACTTAAATAACAGAAACCAATCACAATTTACCATATTTCACAAGAACATACAAATTATACACACGAAGATATAGAAATAGCTTTAAGGCCTAATTTTCAGGTAACAATATGTTAGCAAAATAAAATAAAAAACAAGAACTAGATTACACATATACATGGTTTAGAATTATTTGTAGCAAGGTATGGTGGGCTAACCTTCTTTCTACGATCGCTAGACAGAACGCGGCTTGGAGTCTGAGGGTGAGGTTGAAAGAACAAACTAGGGTTTATGACTGGCGGTTTAACATGAAGATGAAGATTGAGGATATGATTGGGATATTGGCAATCGGATAAGGGCAAAATAGGACTTTTACGTATTCATATGCTACGGGAATTGGATGTATTGGGCCTCCAGGATGGTTGATGGATTTGGTGGACCAGATTGCCATTGCAAATTTCGGGTGAAATGCGTATCTACCTATTGTTTCTATGAATAAATCTTCAAATCTAATTTCATTTTTATATTTTCAATTTTTTTTATTTTAATTACATAAATACTAGCTTTTATACTATTCATGGTTTACTTTTTGTTTATTCTTATCATTGATTTTCAAATTGTATTATTCTTTGATCTATAACTAGTTTATTAATAGTTTATATATGATTTTATTATGATTGTTGTATTTTTTGTGGGAGTTTTTAAAAAGTAGGGTAAAAATGTGAAAAGCATTTTTTCTAAATAATAACTAGGGGTGACTAAATTGAACTGAAAAATGGAGGTTGGGCTCGGATCTCCTGGTTGGAAATTTCTTTCTCCACTTATGGGAGTGTCCTTTCTCTACTTGTGGGAGTGTAGTTTGGTTTTTCTTTTCCTCACTTGTGGGAGTGTCCTTTCTCTACTTGTGGGAGTGTAGTTTGGTTTTTCTTTTCTCGTGGGTGCATTTGTGGTGTTTAGGCTCCCTTTGGGATGTCCTCTCATTTGTTTCGGTCTTTTGGCTGCTGGTTTCAGCTGCAATTGGTCGCACTCGCTCGTTGTAAATACGTGTTTTTATCTATAAAATTCTATCGTTTGCAAAAAAAAATAACTAGGAGTGACTAAATTGAACCGAAGTATAAAAATCGAGTTGAATTGATTTCGTTGCGATTTTATTTTTAAAACGTGGCATGGATTGCAGTGCAGTGCTGGTCTGTTTTGTGGCCAAGGGGATTGGTCGTCACTTTTTTCAGTAAAAGTTCTTTTTTCAATGATGCTCCCAAAACAGATCGAGCATTTGTTCCTGTTGAATCTTTTCATTTTCAGATAGTGTGAATTCTAATGAACTTACAAAAATTATTAGAATGTTAGACGACCTTGAACAACAAATTTATGCAATTGGTTACAATGGTCAATATCATTGTTAAACTAACAAGCATATATGTGACAAAACATACCTTTTTCCTATCAGAGGGGCGAGGGCTAATTCTTTTGGGGCAACAACATGCCCCTTCCTCAAACCCATAAATATATCATGTACATCCATTTCATTAAACATCATTTGGGAACAAGCAGGTAATATCATTCATTATAGGGGAATGGCTCGGCTTATGGAGTCATTCATAGCTATGGAGTCATCGGATGGCTCGGCTTATGGAGTCATCCATAGTTATCCACAAATGATGTATTGACACATATCTTGCACTAAATACACATTAGACACGTGTCAATAAATAAATTTATGGATGACTCCATAAGGGATATGTCGGAGCGACTTCAATTCAAAACATAAATATTGTTAGTGAAATAAACTTCACCCGGGCACCTCCAACTCGAATGGCCTCCGTACTTGCAAGAACCCAATGCTGGGAGGGGTCCCGACGTCGAGCCTCTGATGCCTAAGTCAGCACTGGCTCCAAATCAAGAGTGCAAAATGAGAGTGTAGTAATGAATGAAGAGAAAATGAGTTAATGAGATACCTTAGCCCCTTTTAATAGGGGAAGTGGAGCCCAAGTTGGGCTTGACCCATACCATTATGCTATGTTTCTTAGCTCATATGTAGACTTATTCTCCAATATATTTCTTCTTATCTATTAAAGACAGTCGAGTATAATATCCTATATCATCTAGTCCCCCTACTCTGGTCGAGTAAGCATGACTCGATCTAAAAGTAAAATTTTTCTTTGGGTCATTTCCGTCAACCTACCACTGAGGTTATAATTTGAATAAATCATCAGTCATCAAACAGTCATCAAACCTCCAAATGAGCACCGGGACCCAAATGAACATCGAATGACCACTGAGGTCGAAAGGTAAATGACCTACCACTAAGGTCGAGAACTGAATGACCTGCATCTGAGATCGAACACCGTATGACCATTAAGGTCTAAAGCCGAGTGACCCGCCACTGGGGACGAACACCAAAAGTTGAATGAGCGTGGAATAATACAAGTCCAACACCCCAACCGACTGAGAACTGCTTCGTCTTTATTATCCTCGCTGGTAGAACACCAAAACCTACACAAAACTATCACATCGAAGGGATTCCGCTGAAGAGCCTCCAACGCTAAAATCAGTCTTGAGACCAATTCTAAGTGATAAATGGTATATTGGAAAATCGTGTGGAAAATGATAAAACTCATCCCTATATATAGGGGTGAGATACATGTTCTATAAATTGCCCGGGTTAGCTGAGTTGGCTGCCCAAGAGCTGCCCGTCATGCCCGGTCGTACAACCCTAGTATAGGTGTGTCAAAAACAGTTATTAGCATAGGCAAGTTAGACCACGCCACGCATCCCACACACGTGTGTCAGAGATTCATTTGAAGGCTCTTATGTTCAACCAAATATGGGCAAGTCGCTGGTGTTGCCCTTGGTATGTGAACTGGTAGATCACATGACTGTTTGCTCGACCAGTCAGTCTTTCGACTAGATCCTCAAGAAAGCTGAGACCAGGTTGTTCTCCTAAAGTTCTAGCAGCTATAACTTTCGATCATAATCAATCCACTTAGACTCTATTTGACCAGATCTATCTCTCTGGTTTATTCGATCGGCCAGCGGGACGGTTATAGGTATGATATCATATATCAAATATTAATGCTCAAGTGAAGAGAGATAAGTGCAATGTGGTTTCGTTTTAAAAACAAAAAACAAATTTATGTAATCAATGTACGGAACTCCGCCTACAATAAACTCTCTAAAAGTTTATAGTTGACTGTCTCAAGCCAGCGTGAATGAGAATGGTTGCGTTAGCTTGACGAGCAACATAAGACTTTGCCACTCTCATGATTACAGATCACATAAGAAATCATGCAAATGTTAGGCGCAACTCGCTGTAAGTGGCGCACCGCAAGATCCGACTGCGTCTTCTTGGTAAGTACGACTACATCTCCATGGGAACTTGAGTGTAGTGATAAGTGCGCAAAATTTCCCATACGCTAAGAATAATTTACAAGATATATTTTTCACATCTTGGCAAGGACTGCTACACTCTCATGAGGACGTGAGAGTATCAAGAATTTGGGAAAAGACTCAACAGTTATACGAGAAACATAGGAGTAAAACTTGTAGAATAGGTAGTTCGAATATAGTGACTTAACAAGCAAATCTGTCTATAGAGGTAGTGGAGTGTATGAGAAGAAGAAGGGTAAATATAATGTGTAATATCCCGATATTTTAATCGGTATAAATTACGTTTAATTCCGATATAGTAGCGATATTGTTTGTAATTTTCGGAATTAATTAAGTTCAGTCGGAATTACCGAAATCTATTTTCGACGTACCGTTTACGTTCGAAATAATTTTGGTAATTAAGCATTATGTTTAATTAAATAATAAAACATAAAGTGAGTGATTAATCATAATTAATCACCCAAATTAGATCATTAAGCCG